AGAAGCAGGCTCTATGCAGGGAGCCCAATGTGGGACTAGATCCTAGGTCTCCAGGATAAGGTCCTGGGCTGAAGGCGGCGCTAAACCGCTGAGCCACCTGGGCTGCTCAGCTCATGTTTTTAAACTAGCTTTACCTCTTAATGGCTAAGGTACCAGAAAGATACAGAAGGAAGAAAGCAAATTTGCACTCAAGTCAGAGGATGATAGATGAGATACCAAAGAGGCCTTAAAGCTTGATTAATCTGATCTTCCTATTGTCTAGATAAGGAAACTGAGACTCAGAGAAGTCCATTGATTTGTGTTAAGTCCCACAACTGGTCAGTGGGAAATAACCCTATGTGAAACATACTCCACTGTCACACTGCTGAGAAAATGGAATTTCCACAGGTCAAAATAATATATAAAGTATGGGATTGTGGTTCTGAACTTGAACTCTCATCCCACTGTGCCTCCGGGTGAGCAGAAAAGAACCCCAACTAGGAGACTACACGTAAGCACAGTTCAAGGAACTCCCACAACACCCATGTCAGGGCACAGATGCAGGGTAGTGGGGTCCTCCTCACTGTGGGGCAGGAACAGTTTACTATTGTGCTTCCTCAGTTGGTACTGTCACCAACCTAATGTGGAGGGGACTGGAAGGAATTGGCCGCAACAATTTCTTCCATATATAGTATGACTTCATTAGAAGAGCTATTGTTTTTTTTTTTTCCTAGAGCATTTGGTCATTGTCAGTGCTGTCAGCAAGAGATCACAGTGTGACATTGGCTGAATCAGTGCAGCCTCCTTTATCCCTTGATGAGTCACTGAACTGCAGGTATATGTCAATGATCTGGGGAGTCCATGTGAATTGGGAAGTAACCAGATGCCACTTTGGGAATGTATATAGAGGGTAATGTTGGATGTGAGGTGCAGACCAAATGTTAACCTGCATATGAGTTGAGTGCTTGGCAAAAGATTGGAAGGAGGGCACTGTCCTTGGAAAGGCCTGGCCATAGTATGGCCCTGGAGATCTACTTACTGGAAGACTTAAGAGGAAGGGGAGGTGGTGCAGAAGCTGCTGTCCATGGTGCCGCTCAGGAACTCTTGCCCTACTTTGCAGAGGTAGCAGGCCTAGAGGTACTAATAGCCCAACAAGCTGGGGCCTATTGATTCAGAGGGAAGATGGCTGGGATAAAGTTGATATGGGTTAGGGACTGAAGCAATGAAAAAATGCACATGGGAGGTAAGTATTAGGAGGCCATGGAGTACATGCTTTGTTCTTTTTAAAATTGTGGTAAAATACACATGACATAAAATTTACTATTTTAACCATTTCAAGTATACCATTCACTGACATTAAGTTCATTTGCAGTGTCACACAGTTATTGTCACTGTTTAGTTCCAGAACTCGTTCATCACCCCAAGTGGAAATGCCATACCCATTAATGAACCAGTTTCCATTTTGCCTTCGTCCCACCCCTGTACAACTACTCATCTGCTCTCCATCTTTATGGATTGTGCATGGATTTTATGTCAGGCAGATTTGAGTTCACCCTGGCTCTGCCATTTACTAACAGAGTACGTTGGCTCAACTCACTTGGCTTCTCTGTCCTGTTTTCCACATTTTTAGAATGGGAATAAAAATACTTAACCTGTAGGACTCTTGTGAGGATTGATTGTTTATTAAATGTTTAGCTGAATAACTTTGTTGATTCTTGAGTAGACATTGCAATAAACGTTAGTTGTTTGCTTCATAAAAATGGTAACAGGGTGGTTCCTTTAAGTTGTATATTTCTGTCACAACTGCTTATTCACCAAGCATTCAAGTAACACAACTTAATCATCTATCACAATAGGTGCTGAAATAGAGAAATAGGCTAGTTGAAGAAGGGAGAGATAACTGTATATTTGTGGGCTGATTATATCTTAGAAGCTCTAGTGCTATTGGAATTTAGAGGAGAAGAGTCATTAATGTTGGTTAGATGCTTACTAAATATTTGAACTAGTGAATGAATGGATGAACAGTTGTACAGTCAATGGAAAAGGTAGAACTTTCAAATGGCCCATCCAAAACTTTTGAAAAATAAATGTCCTTCCATCAAGGAAGTTTTTTTTTTAAAGATCTTATTTATTTATTCATGAGAGACACAGAGAGGGAGAGAGAGAGAGAGAGAGAGAGAGAGAGAGAGAGAGAGGCAGAGACACAGGCAGAGGGAGAAGCAGGATCCATGCAGGGAGCCGGACGTGGGACTCGATCCCAGGTCTCTAGGATCAGGCCCTGGGCTGAAGGTGGCGCTAAACCGCTGAGCCACCTGGACTGCCCCATCAAGGAAGTTTAAAATGGAGATATCTTTGGGCTCAGGACAAAGAGAAATTTATTATTGTCTTGGAAAGGAGGTGACAACTTCTATGTGTCAAGCAGAGGCCATTCAAATTCTTTGAGACATCACAGAGAAAACTCACTGATCAATTGTTCTTAATACAAAAGCAGTACTTGTTCCTTCAGAAAAGTATAACAAGAGAACTTAAAAATGGGAAGAATTTATCAGTAACAATATATATCCCTGAGAAACGGGCTTGATTGAATTCATGTTAAAGTTTGAGGTGCTTTGGCCCAGTAAAGCCAGTAAATAATGGAGATTTAACTCCATTTGGTTTTGTTTTTTTGTACAAAAGATGCTGGTAAGGAAGGATGGCTCCACAGGGATTACTTCTGGGAACACAGACTACAGAGCCAAACAATGGCCCTTACGTTATCTGGGGGAATCTCTCTCTCTCTCTCTCACTTTTTTTTTTTTACCACTTGTAATTGGTGATATCATAATTAGGCCTGCATATTACTTGTGAGCACTGCCATACAAGGCACCTCATTTAGCTAGGCTTATGGAGATTAGATCATGCACAGGAAGCTGGCTCCTTGGTTATCAGGCTCCACAGAGGAGCTGGGAGGTTTAAGGAGTGTGAAAAATTAGGATTGATTTAAAGGGACAGGCTCTCTGGAAAAGCATGGAGAGTTTTCCAGCTTGTGCCTCCATGACCTTTAGTATTACATAAACAGCACTGATTTCTACTTAAGTTAAACGCAATTTAATTAATAATTAAAACCTGATAGTATAGACACAGATAATGATGATGAAAGGAGAAAGATGAGGAAGCGACAGTGATTAATTTTTTTTAAAGATTTTATTTATTTATTCGTGAGAGACAGAGAGAGAGAGAGAGGTGGAGACACAGGCAGAGGGAGAAGCAGGCTCCATGCAGGGAGTCTGATGTGGGATTCGATCCCGGGGCTCCAGGATCATGCCCTGGGCTGAAGGCAGGCACTAAACCACTGAGCCACCCAGGGATCCCCTGATTATTTTTTTTTTAAGATTTTATTTATTTATTTTAGAGAGAGAGAGTGCCTTGTTGCACATGCAAGCATGTAAGTGGGGGAAGGGAGAGAGAGAGAGAGAATCAGAGAATCTCAAGCGGATTCCATACTAAGCGCAGAGCCCGACAGGGGTTGATCTCATGACGCTGAGATCATGACCTGGGCCAAAATCAAGAGTTGGTGGCTTAACCTACTGAGCCATCTAGGCGCCTCATGATTACATTCTTAATATGTGTTACAGGAACTATGCTAGCATTTTTATCTTCCAGGTACTATATTAGATTCTTCTTCTTCTTCTTTCTTCTTTCTTCTTTCTTCTTCTTCTTTTTTTTTTTTTTTTTACAGACTTTATTTATTTATTCATGAGAGACAGAGAGAGAGAGAGAGGCAAAGACATAGGCAGAGGGAGAAGCAGGCTCCTCGCAGGGAGCTCGTTGTGGGACTTGATCCCAGTATCCCAGGATCATTCCCTGGGCCAAAGGCAGGCACTCAACTGCTGAGCCACCCAGGCATCCCTATATTAGATTCTTTATAAACAGTTGGCTTATTAACATTATGATGGTCTCCTATGGAAAAAAAAGTTATAACAATAACCCATGGTCAAGTCTTAGCCCTCTTTTATTTATTTATAAGTTTTTGTTTATTTGAGTAATCTCTACACCATTGTGGGGCTAGAATTCACAATCCCAAGATCAAGAGTCCTATGCTCTTCCAACCGAGCCAGCCAGGTGCCCCAGCCTCAGCTCTGTTTCAAAGGATGAGGAAAAGGAAACTTAAAGAGGCCCTTATACAGAAAGAATATTGAAAAAATAGCATTTTGCTCCTCTTAATTCTTTAAGTTCCTTGCCTTGAATTATTATTATTATAATTGGTTTACTTGTTTTTTTCTTCTTGGTAGATCACAGCAATTGAGAGAGAACAACTCTCATTTGTATACTCACTACAATGCCTAGGACAATGCCTAAATTCCAGTGGGTATTCACATAAAGCTCGTTGAATCCATTTGTGTTATCCTTTTTAAAGGCCAACTAGAATGTGTAACGTAATTACTGTAATTACTGTTAACAAAAATTGGCATCCTTACACATTTAACCCTGTAAATCCAGTGCAGAGCTAGATGCACATTATAATTTCTTTTAACATTTTTTTATGAACTGGAGAGAATAGGACATGCCCACGTGGCAGTTATATCTTAAGAGTGACAAATCTAGAGCAAGCTTTGTTTTTGTTTTTCAAACCTAGTTTTAAGTTTTTCTATTTGGCATTAATTGTCTGTTAGTTCCTGAGAGCAGAGCCTTCAGTAATTAGAGAATTATTGTAGAGGTGAGTGATGGCAGATTAGCCGGAGATATGAAGGTCATCAAAAGCAGGAAAGGAAGGGGTCAGGAAATTGGTTAATTTACTCATTTTCCCCAGTATTTCTTCAGGCTGCACACACCAAAGGGTGCTGTTCCCAGTTCAGGCTCCCTGTGTTTTGGCCTGACAATCTCAAATAGTTTTCTTAGCCTTAGAGCTAAAATTGTTCGGTTTAGGACTAAAGTGTTAGTTAAGATAAGACTCTCCGTGCTGCTAATAGATATATGGTATTTGATTCCAATTTCTCTGGCTTTGCACCCATTGGTACCTCACATCATTTTCTTTTCCCTAGGTATACGTGGTCGGGAATGACCCTGTGACAGTTTTAGTGGATTCCCTGCTTCCAGTCCTGGGAGTGCTCTTTTCTCTCTACACTTTTACCAAGCAAAGTGTGTCTCACATAAGGTAAACAGTCTAGAGAACCTTATTTATTTATAAATAGTGAAATCTTTATTGAATGATGTTCTTATTCTTATAAAACTTAATGCCACTTTGTAATTTTTTTTCTTTCAAAATCAGTAAAACATTTGGGGATCCTCTTACTCTGCTCATCTGAGAAAGAAAGCTTTTCTTTTTAAAAAAGATTTTATTTATTTCCTGGAGAGGAAGAGCACAAGCCGGTGGAGCAGCAGAGGGAGAGAGAGAAGCAGGCCCCCTCCTCCAGCAGGGAGCCTGATAGGGGGCTTGACAGGAGGACCCTGGGATCAGGACCTGAGCGGAAGGCAGATGCTTAACTGACAGCCACCCAGGCGCCCCGAAAGAGAGCTTCTCAGATTGCAGGGGATTGAATGTAATTTTTAGAATGGCTTTCCTCAGCCTCTGTCCTAGACGTCAGAGACAAAATCCTTGTTTACTTGTGTAAACATGTCCCTGTTTGATCAGTGAAAAATACTGGAATTACATGTCTAGGGAGGAGGAAATGGAGAATGGATCATAACAACCTTGTGGGGAGTAAGAAATCAAGTTGGGGAAATCTGGATCTGAATGTGGCACCCTGTAATTTAGACTTGGATTTGACGTGAGTGCTGCACAGTGTTGTTTGGAATGAAGGGATTTCTTAATCATCCTGAAAATAATCTTTTGTTTTGGGATTTAGGTTGGCTTCATTTTGTATCAGCTCCATTTTCATAGATACTTATGTTATTTCTTCCTCCTTATATGAGTTTATATCCTTTTTTTTTTTAGGGACTTTTTTTTTTAAAGATTTTTTATTTATTTATTCATAGAGACACACACACAGAGAGGCAGAGACACAGGCAGAGGGAGAAGCAGGCTCCATGCAGAAAGCCTGACATGGGACTTGATCCTGGGTCTCCAGGATCATGCCCTGGGCTGCAGGCAGCGTTAAACCACTGCGCCACCGGGGCTGCCCGAGTTTATATCCTTTTTAAAGTCCTAGAAAATACTGATTTTTAGTGTTTAGAAATCCCCCACATATGATCAGACATATAGTAATAGTACCCTCTTCATAGGGTTATTATAAAGACTGACTATAAAGTGTTGAGCACTCTCCCTGGATAATCACAAACTCAGTAAATGACAGCTATCCTCATCATTGTTAAGTGGTGAGGGAAAGCTCACATACTACCTTGGACTCTAACCTTTGGTCAACACATTATTGTAGCCCACAGCAACAGAGCAGAGAACACAGAGGAAGATGGAGACTATAACTACGTGAAAGAACTTCAAAGAAGTTCAAAGAACTGTCCATATAATAACTTTGAGTTTTGAAACCCAAATCCTCAGAGCACTATCATGTTCTCATCAGAGACTGAGAAGGAAGAAGCAAACATTTATTCCACCCTGATCCTAGTTGACTGGTACAGATAAAAGGGGCTGAGGAATCACCCAGAATTTGTGGGTATGCTCTTTCTTGGTCACCAGCTCTTGTTCCCATTGATAGATGGTTTTATCAGTGTAAACTTTCTTTTATGATATCTAATCCAAAGGCAATGGTACACTTGGAAATATTTAAAAAAACAAAAACAAAAAACACGGATCTTATCAGAGTTGCTTCTAGAGCCAAAGATTAGTCAGTCACTCACTGAATTTCAGGATATTAGATATATTCTGAGATTCACAGGAAGCATAGTTTCCAGTCCTGCACTTCAGTAGTACTAGGTGGTTGTGCCAGCATTTAGAATGCAGTGGAACCTGACAGTCTTCCTTTCTTTTTTTATGTTAGCTTGTTAGATGTGTAGAGTAAGATGACAAGCTCATTTATAACTGCTTTTTCTGCCAGGTCACTTTGCCAAGAGATCTTATTATGGATTCTGGGGAAGCTAGAGAGGAAGAAGGCAATTGCCAGCCTGAAAGGATTTGCAGGATTGGACAAATCTGCGTCCTCCCTTCATTCTTTGTGTCAACTTAGAGCTGCCACTCAAGGTGGCATAATAGTTACCATCAAAGAGGCCATTTGGTGAGTCCACCCACCCTTTACCCTCTCTCTTGGGATAGAATTGCACCCAGAAGGCCCTTCCCTGACTTGTCCACTAAGGGGCGCTGATAGAACAGGACCTAGAACTTTAAGCAGCCGAGGTGCTGCTATTTATAATCTCTAAATGAAATGTGAGCTCCTTAAATAATCCTGCAGGTTTTTTCCCCAGATGCTAGCTAATAGTAGATGCCATTTGCTGGAGCCTTGCAGCTCTGCATCACAAGTGCACTTACTTTGCAAGTCTTTGCCAGAAAATCAGAATAAAGGGTAGTCACATGTTTACCCTCAGCACCATAATCATCCAGTTCTCTTTCTGAATCTCCAAATGGTATATGTCTGTTCAGAGTCAGACTTATTCTTAAATGAAATTGTCTGATAGCTTTTATGTTATTTTATTTTTTTTTTTTTGATGGGGGTTTCTTTCTCCTGGAGAGCAATTGGAAGGTACTTAATAAATATTAGTGGAACGGATAATTTATTTCTCTCACATCTCACAAATATATTTTAAGTTATTTCCTTTTTTGGGTGATATGTATAGATATTATGACCTCAGAATGTAAGTTCCTGTCGACCAGAGTCCCATATAGTTCTTAACTGCTGACAGATACTCAGATTTTTTTTTTAAAAGATTGGATTTATTTTATTTATTCATGAGAGACACAGAGGGAGAGAGAGAAAGAGGCAGAGACACAGGTAGAGGGAGAAGCAGGCTCCATGCAGGGAGGATGTGGGACAATCCCAGGTCTCCAGGATCACACCCCAGGCTGAAGGCAGCACTAAACCACTAAGCCACCTGGGCTGCTGGATATTCAGATTTTTATGTCTCATTCAACATGTGGCTGTTTATTAAAGTGTTAAATTTAATTTTTTATTCATGGTTAACTTAGTAAAGGTATAAAACACTCTATCAATAGGATGGACTTGAGAAAAATGGAAAACATACATTGATTGCAAGCAGAATTATCAGTACAAATGCAAGCTACCAATTTCTTGACAGTTGTTGAGCACTAGTAGGTTTTGTGGTTGTAACTATGCCCCTGAACTGAAAGAATTTAAAATTTAATGTGTTTATTTTAAGAACACTTTGGAATAGTTTAGTCTGAGATCAATCTAGTGAGTGTATAGGGAATTTTTTTTGGGGGGGAATTTTATAGTATTTAACTTATCAGTATTAAAATTAATAGCTATTGTAACTGGTCTCTAGTGTACATCTTAGTGCTCATATATCAGAATCAACAGTTCTTATTGAAACTATAGTTTCTCTTCATGGTAGAAGAAACATAAATAGGCAGTTATTGAATGAATCTAATGCTGGAAGCAATGGACTCTTAACTCAGGGTTTCTACATAGACTTCTAGGTGTCCATAGTCCCTTTGAAATTATATACAAGAAATTTTTATGCACAAAGCTGATTTTTTTTAAAATAGGGTCCATAGTTTTCATGTGATACTTAAGATACTCCGTATCTCCAAAAAGTTGACATGCACTACATCAGAGAAGTGTGTGTGTGTGACTGATTTTATCTTTCATTCTAAAGATCTTGCTCCTGGTGCCAGTCCCCTAAAGGCAAGTCAGTATCACCACTTACCCTTTCCCCTATCATTCTGTCCAGGAGCCCTAGTTATCAATAAAAAGTTTGTTTAAAGAAACACTAAGAGACACCTGGGTGGCTCAGTGGTTGAGCATCTGCCTTTGGCTAAGGGAGTGATCCCAGAGTCCTGGGATGGAGTCCCAAATCCGGCTCCCTGCAAGGAGCCTGCTTCTCCCTCTGCCTATGTTTCCGCCTCTCTCTCTGTGTCTCTTATGAATAAATAAATAAAATATATATTTTTTTTAAATAAAGAAACACTAAAAGAGCAGCTTAGGTTTCATGATCTCTGGATCCAGAATTTTTTTTTTTCTGGACCCAGATGTAACTACAGTATTTGAAACTGAGTCTTTATCCTTGAAATTTTAAGAATGAATGAAATAGAACTTCATAAGGTAATTATTGTCATGTCTTTTTATTTTATTTATTTTTAAAGATTTTATTTATTTATTTGAGGGAGAGAGCAAGCAGAAGTGGAGGGGGGGGGGAGAAGCAGGCTCCCTGTTGAGCAGGGAGCCCAAAGTGGGGCTTCATCCCAGGACTCCAGGATCAAGGCCTGAGCCAAAGGCAGACACTTAACTGACTGAGCCACCCAGGTTTCCCTGTCATGTCTTTTTAAAAAAGTATTTGAATATAGTGTTTCATTTTGACAGGGCGGTTCACAGAAGCTTAGAAGTGACTCTTAGCCATTTCAGTTTTTTTGTCTAATATAAAATGTGGTGTAGATAACATGACTAATCTGAAGGATGCTGGGAGATTCTGGGATAATAGAAGAAGTGATCTTAAGCTTAGTTAATAGGTTACCCATTCTACTAGAGGAGTATAAAGCCCACATCATTAGTGAACTGGCAAATTGGGGCTTACTGCCCAATGGAATGGCCAAATCAACTCTATTTCCTAATTGTATTTTTCAGTGATATGAAACAACATCTGTCATTTTTTTCTCAGTTTAGTCTGAAAACTTTTGTTTCCTTCTTTAATCACAAGAGCACATACCTTCTTTGTATAATGCAAAAAAGCATAAAGAGGAAAACAAAAGACAACTGCTATCCTAGTCACTGTTTGCATTTTTTTAGTGTTTTGTCTTCTAGTCCATCTGTGTTTATTTACATGATACAGTATAATAATATTGTATCTTGGCTTTTTCACTTATCCTGCAAATTAAAATTAAAACCCTTAGCACCTCATGAGAAGTTTCTTAAAACTTTTTTGCAGAAATCGTAGCATCGCTTTTAATAATGTAGCCATATTTTATTACCTGAAAATTTGGCTTACTCAGTTTTTCGAATCTTTCTGCATTTTCATATTTCATCTCGTTAGTTCTTATTAGTTGAGACTGACTGCATGTTCTCCTGTAAGGACAGTATCTTTTTTTGCTGCCCATAACCCTTCAGGGGCTCATCAAAAAAAAGTCCAGCTTTCTTTGAATGGCATTCAAGGCCCCCCTGTAATCTGACCTTGCTTTGCTGACTTCTTTTTCTCAGAATATCTGCATACAACCTATACTTTAATTCCTCCTTGCTATTTCAGTTTATTGAAATAGTGGTAATTCTTTAACATCCATCTTCCTTTAAAAGCCACTTCCTTCATGAGTCTTTTCCCCACTGAGCAAATGACTATATACGACATCTTACCCTACCTTCTGAGAATAAATGCTTTTTTAGCATGGAGCATGAGGAAAATAATTTAAACAAATTTTTGAGATCTTTCTAATGCTTTACTGTATGAAAATACCATGTGTAACTTTGGAAGATTATTACAGAGTTTCAAAAATAATATCTCTGGGTGACACTGCCAAGATAAATCTTACTTCATGTTGCAGTGATGAAGATGAAGATGAAGCCCTGTACCAGAAGGTGTCCTCAGAGCAATGTCGGGTAGAGCATCTCGGGGACTTGTTATCCCACTGCCAAGAGTGTGGTTTGGCAGGTGACTTCTTCATCTTCTGCTTGAAGGTCAGAACTACATATATGGTAAGGGCATGGTCAGCTTTATTTCAGGATACAACCAGGATCCCCTTTGAATTTTCAGGGCAGTCATAATTTTAGCTCCTAAAATTAAGGTCCTAATCTTAGAGAGAAATAATCACAGGATGTAAGAGTAATTTATGTTAGTAGTCTTTGGGTTGGTAAAAAGAAAAAAGCAGTACACATATGATTGGACTGTTTTCCGAGGTGATCTGCCCTGAACTTTTAGAGATGACCAAAGTAGAACTCTTGATCTATGAAAGGGTTAATCTTTGCTCTGTGTTGACAGTAAGTACTCTTTTGAAGTTAATAGCAGGTTTTGCAGTTATGGAGTAATCCTTTATCCTTTCTGACTGTTGTTTTGTCAGGTATTTGGAAAGCAGATTTAGCAGTTCTGCCTTTCTCCTTTCATTTTGTAACCACCTGAAACCTTTTCTGGGTCTGTTTCTTAGTGTTGGTTATTGTGCTTCCTCTTGCTCTCATCTCTGACAGCAACTTGTACCTCATACTGTACTCCTTATTTGCATTGTTGGAGACTGTCAACGGGGTGATCTCTGATTTTCTGTCCTCCAGCTCTGCCTTCTCCTTTATTTTCCCTAAAATGAAGTGTCTGTTCTAAGAGAATGTTTGTGGAGTTTGAAGTTGGAGTGGCTATAGGGGAATGCAAGGAGAGAATCAGGGCTAACATTTCTAGAACTTGAAATAGGGGCCATTTTTTGATGCTTTTCTCACCTCTTGTGTTCACTTTTCTTTCTTTCTTTCTTTCTTTCTTTCTTTCTTTCTTTCTTTCTTTCTTTCTTTCTTTCTTTTTCTTTCTTTCTTTAGATTTATTTATTTATTTGAGAGAAAGAGAACACAAATGGAAGGGCCAGAGGGAGAGAAAATCTCAAGCAGATTCTGTGCTGAGCATGGAGCCCAGTGTGTGGCTTGATGTCACAATCCTGAGGTCACAGCCCTGAGACCACAACCTAAGCCGAAACCAAGAGTTGGATGCTTAATCGACTGGGCCACCCAGGCACCCCTTCCTGTGTTCACATTCTATCCCCTTACTTAGTCACTCATTGTAAATAACATTACAAGAAAATGTGCTCTTAATCAGAGAATTTTAAAAATTATTTTAAAAAGCAAAAAATCAGGGGATCCCTGGGTGGTTCAACGGTTTAGCGCCTACCTTCGGCACAGGGCATGATCCTGGAGTCCCGGGATTGAGTCCTGTGTCGGGTTCCCTGCATGGAGCCTGCTTCTCCCTCTGCCTGTGTCTTTGCCTCTCTCCTCTCTCTCTCTGTCTCTCATGAATAAATAAATAAAATCTTAAAAAAAAAAATCAGAGGCGCCTGGGTGGCTCAGTTGGTTAAGTAACCGACTTGATTTTGGCTCAGGTTGTGATCTCAGGGTCATGGGATCGAGCCCTGAGTCAGGCTCTGCCCCGTGAGTGGAGCCTGTTTGAGATTCTCTCTCTTCCTCTCCTTCTGCCTTTCCCCTCTCACCCCCACCCCCGACTCGCACACACCGCACACTCTCTCTAAAATAAAGAATAAATAAATTCTTTAAAAAAACAAAAACAGGGATCCCTGGGTGGCGCAGCGGTTTGGCGCCTGCCTTTGGCCCAGGGCGCGATCCTGGAGACCCGGGATCGAATCCCACGTCGGGCTCCCGGCATGGAGCCTGCTTCTCCCTCTGCCTGTGTCTCTGCCTCTCTCTCTCTCTCTCTGTGACTATCGTAAATAAATAAAAATTAAAAAAAAAAATCAAAGGACTTTGCTTAAACCCAAGGTTTCTGCACCTTGGGTACTATTGGCATTTTGGGCTGGGTAATTTTTTATTGAGAGGCCAGGGGCTTCCTGTGCTTTCTTGTAGGATGTTTAGTAGCATCCCTGACCTCTACCACTAGATGCCTATATCACTCCCCAATTATGAAACCAAGAATGTCCTAAGACACAGCTAAATGTCCCCTGCAGAGCAGAAATTCCCAGGCCCTGTTGGGAACCGTTGCTCTAAACTGTCACTTACTTTGGTAAAGTATTAATTGTTAAGGAACTTAAGGTTTTCTCTTCCCAAGGAAATTTACAATGTGAAATGTAGGGAAAAAGCCTACAAAACCCACAGTAATGAATTATCTATTAGTAGAGATTTAGTTTTAAGTATTGTAGGGAAAAAGCTGCTGAAAGCATTTAATAGTCTCTAAAAAAGGGTTTGGAAATGTTAGATGGCCTGAGGTCTCAGTTCAGCAGGGCTCGTGGTAGAGATCATGAAAAATGCTGATAATGTAAGTAGTTTGTCAAGCTAGTTCTCTTTATGTATGTATGCTTTTTACTATGAAGTTTTAAATCTTCATATATGTATTCCATAATATACATATCATTCTACAGCTTCCATTTTTCACTAAGCACTGTTTTTGAGGTCTTTCTGTTGACATCCACATAGATCTAGCTTATTTCAACTGCTACAGTTTAATAAATACAGTTTATTCATTCTCTTATTGCTAGACATTTGTCTCCAAATTTTGGCTATTATAAATAATGCTGCAACGAACACTTAGACTAGTTCTTTACAAATACATTTCAAACAGAGTTTTCTCACTATTGTGGAAGCCCTTAGTTCTACAGCCTTTTTCCTCACTTTTTCTTTTCTCCCATGCTGGTAGGAGTTGACGCATATGGCCATGGAAGATGAAGCAGAGTTAAAAACAAAGCCCTTCTCCTGCAAAAGCCTCTTGGAGTTAGAGCAGCACCAAACTCTTGTGGAAGGCCAGGAGCAGAAGGTGCTCATCCTACATCTCTTGGCTGTTCTGTGCGAGAGGATGTCTGAGCAGATTTTCACAAACATCACTCAGGTCAGTGGCTGCCACATTCCAGATCCCAAGCTGGTAGTATTCATCTATTTTGGTTTCTTTACATGATTTCCAAAAAATGTTTTAAAAAAGTTACTGAGTGTATGGCTCGGTAATACCTGCCTCAGTGTTACCTGGAATGCTCCTTGAACATGCAGATTACTGAGCCCATGACAACCAATGGGATCAACACTTTTGGAGGTCCTGCCAGCTGGCATGTTAAACAAGCTTCTGAGGTGATTCTCATGCACAGAAAACTTTGACAATTGTAGATATTTATGTATTATATTACAGGGTCTTTGGCTTTTGGGGCAAATATGATTGTCTGAGTTTTTTTTCAAAATATGGATGCCCAGCCCACTTGTAGAGAATCTGATTTAGCATGTCTGCATTAGCATCTAGGGATCTGTATTTTTTTAAGCCCATGGATGATTCTAATATGTATCAAAAGTTGAGCATGATAAGAAAACTTAAATTTGAAAAAATCGCTGATGATAAAAATACATATTATTTCTACAATAGCCTGTGAAGTTTTAAGATGTTTTTAAAAATGTTTGAAGGGATCAGTGCCTGAATTTTGTTGGCTCAGACATTATAATTATTTTATTTAATTTTTGAAATATTTTATTTATTCATGAAAGACGGAGAGAGAGAGGCAGAGACATAGGCAGACTTAGAAGCAGGCTCCCTGCAGGGGAGTCCGATATGGGACTTGATTCTAGGACCCGGGGATCACAGCCCAAGCCAAAGGCAGAGGCTCAACCGCTGAGCCACCCTGGTGCCCTCGAACATTATATTTATCAACTATTTATTTATTTAAAATAAATTAAAGATTTTATTTTTATTTATTTGATAGAGAGCACAAACAGAAGGAATGGCAGGTAGAAGGAAAGGAAGAAGTGGGCTCCCCGCTGAGCAGGGAGCCTGACTCAGCTTGATCCCAGAACCCTGAGATCATGACCTGAGCCGAAGATAGACACTTTACCAACTGAGCCACCCAGGCACCTCGTTACTAGCGTTTTGAAAAATAGGAAATTAAAGGGGCGCCTGGCTGACTCAGTCAGTAGAGGATGTGACTCTTGGTCTCAGGGTCTTGAGTTCAGGCCACACATTGGGCATAGGGCCTACTTAAAAAGAAAAAAAAATGTAAAAACCCACAGGAAATAGGAGTAATAAAGTGTAGGCAATGCAGTCACCATATTTTACTGTTATTACCAGAATTAGGTGTTGCTTGGCTGGTGAACAGTCAGTTGTAAGATGGTATGATTGTCATGCTTAAATCTGATTCTTCAGCTCTTTGTATCGCCCTCATTGTCATCTGCCTTCTGGTGTTGCTAAGCAGCGTTTCAGTCTAGCTCCCGCTGAGAAAATTTGCAGCTGTGTGTCAGCTCCAACTTACCGTGCCTGTTTAATGAGAATTATGTTCATGATTTCTTTCCTAGCTTCTTATTCCTTCAGTTCTCTGACCCTGTGTTACACAGTAGGGTGATTTGTTTCTCCTGTGTTTATATCAGTTCCCTAAAGACTTTTTCACCCAGACCTTATGTCTTTGTCTCAAGATGGTAGTTGGAAGGGAAAATGGCCTAAAAACTATATGACCTGAGCTTTTGCACTTAGCTCCCTTTGTTCCTAATTAAGGAACAATGGTTTTAGGCTGACAGAGAAGTGACTTGTCCCATTAAATTATCCTTTAGATAAGGTTAAAATGTCTAGATGAAAGAACCACAAAAAAATATTAAATGGCATTTAGTAGTTTTACTGCTAGTGATAATTTTAGTAATTATTTTGAAATACACACACATATGGGTAAGTTATAAATAATACATGTTACAAGTAATTTTGTTAATATCATTAGGAACCAAGATTTTCAGTATAAGAAAAAAAGTTATGAATATAAAATCAAAGAACCTGAGTAGAATTCCTATAATATTGAATTTCAATTGGAAGTAGTCATATGAGGGGTGCCTAGGTGGCTTAGTCAGTTGAGCATTTGCCTTCCTTTTGGCTCAGGACATGGGATCGAGCCCCACTTTGGTCTCCCTGCTTGGTGGGAAGCCTGCTTCTCCCTCCTTCCCACTTGTACTTTCTCTCTCTCTCAAACACATTTTTTAAAAAAAGAAGTACTTGTATGAACTCACAATTTTTTCTTTTTAAAAAATAGATATTCCCAGGACACCTGGGTGGCTCAGTGGTTGAGCATCTGCCTTTGGCTCAGGGTGTGATCCTGGGGTCCTAGGATCAAGTCTCGCATCAGGCTTTCCACAGGGAGCCTGCTTCTCCCTCTGCCTGTGTCTCTGCCTTTCTCTGTGTCTCTCATGAATAAATAAATACAAGCTTAAAAAAAATAGATATTCCCTTGCTCATTCCAATGTCTTTGCCAAGAAGTTGTAACAACCCAGCAGCAATAAGCGTCTTTAGAGCCAGACTGTAGTTTCTAAATATCATGTCCTGTTGAAAGAACACAAAAGTCATTGGAGTAAAGGTTCATTCAAGGTCTAGGGCAGGAATTGTACACTGTAAGCCTCAGGATATCTTGTTGTGCCTAAATAAAAGGAAGATGCTTGAGATTAATGAAGTCATGTTAGTAGCACTCAGGAGCCAACTTGAAAGATCTCCCATTGGCCACAAATAGGGCATTTCAGCATTAAAAAGGATAGTGCATGTAGTGGATTGAGATACATCAGTTATGAAAGCCTAAGCCACCCCTTCCCAAAAATCACTTTTGGGCATCTCTGGAAGTTGCCAGGGCATCAACTCATTGTTTTGTAAATTGATAAATGAAAGAAAAGAATATAAAACATTTTATCTTACCTTTTTCTGTCTACCCTGTATTTCAGTGTACTCAAATGGTGAAGGAAAAATTTTCTTTATATAAGAACTGCAGCTTAAATATTAAAAAAGAGACCTATAAATGTATATATTTTGCATTCCCCTAATGAAATAATGAATCTAGGTGACAATATCTGCTAAAACTATTAGGGGTACTGTATAATGAATGTAATTAGGCCAAACATATCCAAATCAACTGATTCTTCCCTCCCCCCCCAGCATTTTATCATGAAAACTTTCAAATTTGAAAGAATTTTATAGTGAATACCTGTGTACCTGCTACCTAGATTCTACTATTAGGGTTTTATTTGCTTTATCACATATTTATCTGTGTTTCCATATGTCTGTCCATTTAATTTTTGGTGGATTCCAGGGTTAATGTATGTGTATGTTACCCTAAATATTTTCAGCCTGGAATAATTGATCGCAACATCACTAGAAGTAGACAAGCAGACATTATGTGACTCCTTAATGTAATGTAATAGGAAGTACGTAGCGCCACCTAGGAAGGACTCTTACCCCAAAAATAAACAAAACCCCACAAACAAGCAAAAAACAAAAAAAGTCCATAAAATATGAATCTAATCAAAGAAATTCAAGGTACAGGAGCAAGTTAATGCCATGAGGAAGCAAGATCAGTCAGTTTCATAATGTGAGACATTCTACAGTACAAATGACTGAGTTTCTTTGTAAAGTAAATGGTATAAAAAAGGAGCAGAGCTTCTGTAGCTTAAGAGAGACTTAAGAGACATATCAACCAAATGCAATGTGTGGATTCTCATTCAAACATACTAATTGTGTACGAGAGGACATTTTTACAACAGTCATAGGCCAAATAATAGAAGGTATAAGGAATTTTTATTGAGTTTAATCATGGTATGGTAGTTATGTGTGTGTGTGTGTTTAAGGTTTTTAAGTAATCTCTCCATTCAACATGGGGCTCGAACTTACAATCACAAGATCAAGAATCACATGGTCTACTGACAGCCAGGCAGGTGTCCCTGGTATGATAGTTCTGTTAAGAGAAATTTCCTTGTTAGAAATGTATATTGAAGCATTTATGGACTAAAGATTTAAAATTTAATAAAATGTATTGGCAGATAATGTATGAGAAGATATACAGAGGAATGAGCCATTCAGTGGTCTATATATGGATACCAACTCTCCAGTTTCTAATATGTATCAAAGGCCCACTAAGTGGCAGGTACTCTTCTAGGTATCAGGGACATAGCAGTGTACAACACACATTTCTCTCCTCATGGGATTACATTCACATGAGAGATAGAGAGACAATAAACAAGTAAGCAGAAGAACAAGGTGTGTTAGATGGTAATAAGTACCAGAGAGAAAAATCAAACAAAGGGAATTTAAAGACAGTGTAGTAGGTAGGGTGGTCATGAAGAACTTCAATTTAAAGACAGTGTGATAGGTAGGGTGGTCATGAAGAACTTCACTGAGAAAATGGCCTTTTTAAAAATGTTTTGGGAGAGAGTGAGCATGTGTGCATATGGATAGGGTAGGGGTAGAGGCAGGGGACAGGAAGAGAGAGAATCTTAAGCAGGCTCCATGCCCAGCACAGAGCCTAACACACAAGGGCTCAATCTCACAACCCTGAGATCAGGACCTGAGCCAAAATCAAGAGTAGGACATTTAACTGACTGAGCCACCCAGGCACCCCAACAGAATGGCTTATGAGCAAAGATCTGGAAGCAGGGAAGGAGGGAGCTGCAGAGATACCTTGGGGAAGAGTGCGCCAGCTAAGAGAGAGCGTGTCTCAGGTGTGGAGGGCTCAGCAAGGAGGCTAGTGTTAATGGAGTAGAATGAGCAAGATTTCCTTTTTTCCTGCCCTTTCAGAAAATTGCCACACTTTGCACCTTTCTATATTTAGATCGCTGTACTTGGCAGAGTAGAAGTGGTTTATATGATTTTTTCTTATATATTAAGAACGCTTTTAACATAAGTAACGCATGTTCATTGTAGAAACATTTAAACATAAAAGAAGTACATGGTTTAAAAAGTATGGACTTCTGATTAAAGATAGTATATTGGGGCACCCTGGGTGGCTCAGCGGTTTAGCGCCGCCTTCAGCCCAGGGTATGATCCTGGAGACCCGGGATTGAGTCCCATGTTGGGCTCCCTGCGTGGAGCCTGCTTCTCCCTCTCCCTCTGCCTGTGTCTCTGCTTCTCTCTCTCTCTCTGTGTCTCTCATGAATAAATAAAATCTTAAAAAAAAAAGATAGTATGTTGAACACTTGAGTTTATCTGCTCCTTCTGGAAACCATAGGGGCCAACAGAGCAGGAGACAAGAAACAGCAGATAAAAGAGAATAACAACATTTGAAAACTGGAAAATAATGGCTGATCTAGCAACTCTGAAAACAGAAAGCTATGTGCCTGCATGGGAGAAGCAAAGCACTATACCTCAGTGAGGCTGTTCAAACTTTATTTTGAAAAGGAAAAAAAAATGTTCTCATTGCAGAACACTGGAGGGACTGGATGGTAGATCAACTGTAAAGATGAAGGTGAGTTTAGAGCTTAAAATAGGTTGAAAGGTTCTGCAAGCTTTGGTAGACCCCTTGATTCCTTCCTCAGATTTGTACAAACACCTCCCTCCCCAGCAGTAGCTGGGAGGCATATTCTTGAGAGTGGTTGAACTTAGGTGGCAGAAACAAACTAAAAAACCTTCTAGAGGATCAGGTTGCTGTCTACAGACTCAGTAGTGAGGCCTCGGCCACTTCCATGCAGCTGTCAGAATGTTGGCAGCAGGTTTATACATCCCCGTAGGAAGAGAGGGAGGATTTAGGGAGTTAATATCTATAATGTGTTCAGAAGGGAACCTGGTAAATAGTAAATGTTTAATGTTATTAATAAGCAGCTAACCCATAAAAGTGGTTGCCTATGTAGAACCCCAATCAGACAGGAAGAATGCGGTAGAGCACTGTTTTTCATTATAAACTTTCAGGAATATTTGGCTTTTTAGATTATGTAACTTTACAGATATGTTTAAGTAAAAGTCTCTCTCTCCTCTCCACAACCTATATAAATTCTAGAACATGCTTTAGTTACATACCTATCCTTGTGGCTGGAAGCCCGACCAGTCACAGGAAGTGAGTAGTAGCGAGGAGGAGCTGTTGTCCAGATGGGTATAGTGGTTTTGTTGTGACAAGAAGAAAAAAGCTTGACGGAAAGGGCACTTTATGGATGACAGTAACAGCTGGCTATCAGACCACAGTTAACAGCTCCCAGGTGTTTTGTTTTTTGTTTTTTGCTCTTTTTTCTACATACATACAGTTTCTTTCTTAACAAAATAGGATCATATTACTTGTTTTGCAGCATCTAAATATGTGTGTGTGTATATATATATATTCTGAATAATATATATTATGTATATATACACATAATGTATATAATGTATATGTATAATGTATATAATGTATATTATATATATATATTCTGAAGAGGGACTTAGAAAAAGTGGAAAGGCTAGATAGTTCTTTTCCAGCAATTTAACAAAACATTTGTGCTGAAATAGAAGCTTCCTCAAATCAAGGGGTGCTTTAAAAAACTCTCTGGAGGCAAAATAGGTGGCCCGAGATGGTAAATGTAGCATTTTCTCTAGAAAGGCCAGTGTCCTTAACTTCTAATCAAAGTTTTAGGCTTGAGAGGGTGGTGAAAATTGCCGTAACCAGCATTGTTCATTTCAGTAAGTGGAACTTTTAATAACCTTTCTAGTTTCCTGCCTCGCTCCAAAGACAAGTGTTAACAAGCCATTCTCCTGACTTTAAGCTTGCAATAAAGACTCTAGCATAGCATGTGATTTGCCCAGAGAATTAAACATGCAAGCTTGCATGGTATTTAGAGGCTTATTATGACCTATCTCAGCTGTACTACTTTCAAAATGATTTTTCCCTTTTCAGCCATTAATCCTAAATATGCGTGCATGTGTGCATGCTTGCACGTGTGTACCTGCGCATGCACAGATGTGTGCATTTGCTTTTATTCAAAGATATTTCTACTTAAGGTGATTAATACAAGTGCAGTCAAAATGATGCTGACCAAATTAATTCCATTTAAAGCTTAGTTGTTAGCCAAATGCTATATAAAATCTTATATATGAATAATCTTAATCCTTTAAAAATATTTGGTACTTAAAAAAATGACTCTGGATCATTTGTACAGATTGTTTGAGGACTCAGTTCTAGATAAAATTAGGCCTCTTCGCCTATTCTTTGCTTACTGGAATCAGATGGTCATAACTGAATTGGAGCAGGGGAGTCCTTGAGGAGGAAGCCTCATTAGGAGAAGCAGATCTGGGGCACCTGGGTGGCTCAGTGGTTGAGTGTCTGCCTTTGGCTCAGGTCATGATCCTGGGGTCCTGGAATGGAGTCCCACAACAAGCTCCCTGTAGGGAGCCTGTTCCTCCCTCTGCCTATGTCTCTGCTTCTCTCTGTTTCTCCCATGAATGAATAAATAAAATCTTAAAAAAAAAAAAAAAGGAGAAACAGATCTAGGACCATCTAAGATAATCAGCAAGTATCAAATCATTTTTCATTTTAATTTCCTGTCAAAATTCATGAAAAATCAAGGAAGTTGGATTAATATATTAAAATATTTGGGCTGATCTTAAAAATAAAATATTTGGGAAGGTATAAATGAGGTTTCTCATTTATTAACTTCATGGCTTTGACTAGCTTACAGATTCTTCATCAAAAAATAAGGACAGGGACACCTGGGTGGCTTAGCAGTTGAGTGCTTGCCTTCGTCCCAGGTGTGATCCCACAGTTCTGGGATCGGGTCCCACATCGAGCTCCCTGCATGGAGCCTGCTTCTCTCTCTGCTTATGTCTCTGCCCCTCTCTCTCTGTGTTTTTTATGAATAAATAAATAAAATCTTTAAAAAAAAATGAAGACAAAGAGTACCTGGCTGGCTCAGTTGGTAGACCAGCAACTCTTGATTGTGAGGTCATGAGTTTGACCCCCACATTGGGAATAGAGTTTATTTTAAAAAATAAGGGGGTACCTGGGTGGCTCAGTCAGTCAGGTGGTTGCTTTTGGCTCAGGTCATGGTCTCAGAGCCCTGGGATCCAGCCCCACATCAGGTTCCCTGTCCAGTGGAGAGTCTGCTTCTCTCGGTCCCTCTCCCTGTTCATATTCTCTCTCTCTCTCTCTCTCTCTCTCTCTCTCTCTCTCAAATAAACATAAAATCTTGAAAAAAAATGAGGCACTGACCCTCTAGAGTTGACATGAGATGTGGGCCTGTACATAAAAGACACTGAGTACCATGCCTGTTCTGGTAGGTTCTTGCCTTCATGATGTTGATGAGGAAGGAGGTAAGGATGTAGACATAACATATAAAGAGAATTTTTGAGATTCTTTTTCTTATTCCTCACTGATATTACATTCTGTTTCTGTCATAGGTTGTGGACTTTGTAGCAGCAACACTGCAGCGAGCATGTGCAAGTGTGGCCCACCAGGCAGAGAATCCTGTGGAGTCGCAGACACTGAGCATGTCCATGGGGCTGGTGGCTGTCATGCTGGGAGGAGCTGTTCAGGTGAGTTGCCAACATGAGCCAAAGTTGGTTGGAAGGAGGAGAGAAGAGAGAAACTTGTTGCTTCTCTTTTCACCCCTGTGAGAAATCAGAATGGATGTTGTGCTTAGGAGAACTAGAATAATAAACAAGTCAGGCTGTTAATGAGAATTCTCTCCAAAGTAGAGGATGAGAAAATTGTACCACTTCTACCTTATCACCTGTGTAGACTTCACTTTCAGAAGGTCAGGGCTCTTTCTGACCTGACACAACATTGATTTGGAAATACTTGGCATACTGTTTTGCATCTTTGGTGAATACTACCTTCTCTATCCCTTACTCTAAGGGCTCTCCAAAGCTCAGCCCTTGTCCCTACTGCTGTAGTGGGGGCAAACCTGTGTAAACTGCTGATTACTTAGGATTCTGTTTTGAATAGTTTTCTTTTAGCACGGGATCCATTGTTTAACCCATATCATATAGCATGTTAAAGCTTTGTGTCCAGTGCATGTATCTTTTTTTTTTAGATTTATTTATTTGAGAGAGAGAGAGAGAGAGACACCACAAGCAGGAAGGGCAGAGGGAAAAGGAGAGAATCTCAAGCAGACCCCACACTGAGTGTGGAGCCCAATGCAGAGCTCTATTCCAGGACCCTGAGACCATGACCTGAGCTAAAACCAAGAGTTGGACATTTAACTGACTGTATCACCCAGGTGTCCCGAGTACATATATCTTTTACATACTTATAATTTTTAAGAATTTAAAAAATACTCAAAAAATATTTATTTCTTACTGCTGTGTGCCAGTGAAGGGTCTAGGAATATTGTCATGGACAAAGCAAACATGGTCCTTATCCTCATGAAGTTTACTGCTAGTGAGGGAGTCAGACATTAAGTATTCAAAAAATATACTTCAAATTGAATGCAGTGCCTGAAAAGAGAAGAAGAAGGTACCAAGAGAACATCTAACCTAGGCTGGGAAGGTTTCTACTGAGGAAATGTAAGTTTAAGATAAGACTTGAATGGTGAATAGGAGTTTGGGGGTGTATGTGGTACAGGTGGAGGCAACTCTTTCAGTTAAAGACAATATAAAAAAAAAATAAAAATAAAAAAATAAAAATAAATAAAAAATGAAGACAATATCATGTTCAAAGGCCAGGAAGCAAGAAAGAGTTCGGTGTACTTAAATACTGATGGACGGCCCATGTTAGCTGAGCTGTAGAGACCAAGAGGCAGAGGTGTGCCAGACAAGGAGAGAGGTGGGCATGTGTGTATGTTAGGAAACTACAAGAAAGCAGAATAAGCTTAGTGCAAGTATAATGAAATTGGATCCAAAATCAGACTGGTTAGAACTCTTAGCAATGAGCGGGGAACCCTCTAGGAATGGATTTTTTAATTTGAAGATTCAAATTTGATACTGATTTGTGATATATTAGAATTTGCCTCCTTTTACCCTGTCCTTAAAAGGAAAAGGAATTTGTTTAAAAAGATTTTATTTACTTATTTAACAGAGGGAGAGCACAATGGGGGGGGGGTGGAGCAGAGCGAGAGGGAGAAGCAGACTCCCTGCTGAGCAGGGACCCTCCCCCCACCAATGTGGGGCTTGATCCCAGGATGCTGGGATCATGACCTGAGAAGGAGGCAGGTGCTTAAGCGACTGAGCCACCCAGGCATCCCAAGGAAAAGAAATTTTATTTGGGCCTCTTGTTAATGTGAATCCATTTCTTGGTAGATTTACTTAGCACTCCCAATTTTTTATTTTCTAAGTAGTTTGAAGAAATCATTTTTCATTCAGTTTCTAAAGTCCTATTATATCCCTGCCATTGGAATTGTCAAGGAGGTATTCACCAAAGGAATAATTTTTCTTAAGTTATATTGTTATTGAATTTAGTTGGCCTGATTGGTTTTTGTTTTTCTGGTTGAATATTAAAAATAGTCTTTGTTTCTCTAAGTTGAGAGTGTGTTTTTTTTTCTCTTATTTAACACCTATAATTTTATGCCACACCCCAAATGGAAAGTAGAACACAAGTATTTCCATTTCCCCTTCTATAAGCCTGTTGTTGGGGGGATTGGCTATGTAAATTAGTCATGTTTTAAGAGAGATTCACCTGAGTGATGCAAATATATATCCCTTACCTGTCCCTGCCCTTCCATGAGCCATCCTGACTCACTGATTACATCCTGGATTCCTCTGACTTTGCATTTACTTAAGTGAACATAAACACGCCACTTTTGCCCTAGATCTACTAATTTTTTTCTGTTTGATTCATGAATTCATAAGGGGTTTCTATAGTAATGCTGAGCTTTCCATCTTTGTATTAGAAAAAAAGTCATGATTCTTAATTATGTTTTCAGACAGTCATCATGAGGCTTAGGGCTTTTATTTCAGAGTCTAGATTATACTATACCTACCCCCAATTAGAGTTCATCATTGTTTTAGCTAATGGAACAGAGTCTAACAACATTGCAACCTTTCTTTCCTTTCTAATGTATGTAATTAAGGTGATTATTAGAATATAGTATCTGGGAAGAGGAGTCAATTTGGAGAAAGTGTAGGTCTAAGACTGCTAACAAGACAAGTGGTATTCCAAACTCATTTTCTAAATTTCAGGGTTGCTTATCAATAAAAGCGTGATGCTGGTAACTTCCCTGGCCCCCTAGGAAGCAGTTTCTTGATAATGTTGCAGGACCCATTAGGTCCCCTAAAGTACTGCTGCCATGGAGCTGATCTGAGCTTTGAGGCTCAGGGTGGTGGGGCTGGGACTCAAACCCAAATTCTGAGATCTCATACTGCATTTTCTGAGAATATCATGGAGTAAACCCATTCAAGAAATCTTTATTATATGCCTCTTTGCCCACATGGAGTTCACCTTCTAGTGGCTGTGATTAATCCAATGAATTCTTAATTTTTTAAAAGAAGATTCATATTTCTGTATCTCATATGTGTTTTTATATGTTGCTCATTATAAAACAGGCTGTACTGCGCACTGACTTAGAATAAGAATACCACTTGTAGGGATCCCTGGGTGGCGCAGCGGTTTGGCGCCTGCCTTTGGCCCAGGGCGCGATCCCGGAGACCCGGGATCGAATCCCACGTCAGGCTCCCGGTGCATGGAGCCTGCTTCTCCCTCTGCCTATGTCTCTGCCTCTCTCTCTCTCTCTCTCTCTCTCTCTCTGTGTGTGTGTGTGTGTGTGTGAGACTATCATAAAAAAAAAAAGAATACCACTTGTAAATAAATTCAGTGACATTATAAGTAAGAACTGGACATATAAACAACTCAGCTAAATATCTGAAGAAACATAGATGATATATAGAAATGAGAATACAAAGAATAAACCTAAGTACTTGTTGGAACTAGGGATTTTTAGGTAGCATTTTATTGTTGGAAGAGGCCCTTGGAGTCCTCCAAAAAAGTGATTCTCACTGGGTAGGATAAGGCATAATGAGAATTTGTATGCTCCTTAGGTGAGCCTTGCAGAGGCTCATGTGGGGATTTTTCAGTGTACACATGCCCTCCTCTGGCTGTCAACTTGGTTCTCATATGCTTACCTTAGCAGGCATCCTCCCTCCCACCACTCACTACCCTCAATTCCTTCCCTACCAGTCCAACCTCCAGTTCTTAAATTTGAAAACTTGCAGAAATTCAGAACAATTCTCTAACTGGTTCATTCCTGATGCCCTGAAAGAAGTCATAGACATAGCTGACATAGCTCTGCATGTTCCATTCCTAAAGTATACCTGAGACTCTGGAAGAGGCACAGCCAGATAAAGAAATCTGTCACTCACTTGTGGGCTTCAAGCCTCAGGGCTTTCCACACAGAATTCTGAAGTCTGGATATGAAATCTCTGCTGAGTAGCAGTGACAGGAGTAGAAATGAGGGCTTTGTGGTTAATTCTTAATTTTGATATGGCTCTTGGTAACCCTTGAAAAATAATTAATAATTACTTAGTGGTTCCATTTTCATGTTTATCAATTAAGTGAATATTACTTTGTACCTCAAAAATTTTTTGAACATTTATGAACAAAATAGTTGGTATCTGCAGTCTTGGGCTTTACTGATTATTCTCACAGTGGGACATCTATAGGCTTACAAAGCTGAAAGAATGCATAACTTTAATCTTAAGCCTTATAAACTATTTGATTCAGAATCTACCTATGTGCCTATTATGATTTAAGAAGTTACCCAATTGAATAAGATGATTCCACAATGCCTAGGAAGTTTGAAAACTGGAAGAAAATATAGTTGTTGTTTTTTTTATTAATAGACTATTTTTTAAAAAGATTTTATTTATTCATGAAAGACACACAGAGAGAGAGAGGGAGGGGGAGAGACACAGGCAGAGGGAGAAGCAGGCTCCATGCAGGGAGCCCAACACAGGACTGGATCCCCGGTCTCCAGAATCATGCCCTGGGCTGAAGGTGGCGCTAAACTGCTGAGCCACCCAGGGATCCCCTAATAGACTGTTTTTAAGAGCAGTTTTTGGTGCACAGCAAAATTGAGCAGGAGGTACAGAGATTTCCTATGCATCTCCTGCCCCACAGAGCACAGCCTCCCATACTGGCAACATTCTGCATAGGAGTGATGCATTTGTTACTGTCAGTGATCCTACATTGACCCACCGTGTGTGTGTGTGTGTGATCACTCACAGTCTACAGTTTACATTATGGTGGTTCACGCATGGTACTGTAACCTCTATGGGTTCTGACAAATGTGTAATGAGTATGTAGCTATCATTATAATATCCCACAGAATAGTTTCACTTCCCTTAAAATTCTTTGTGCTTTGCCTATTCATCTCTCCCGTCAAACCCTTGGCAACCACTGATCTTACTGTTTCCACAGTTTTGTCTTTTCCAGAATATAACTTAGTTGGGAGTATATACTACATAGCATTTCCATACTGGCTGCTTTCACTTAGTAATATGCTTTTAAGCTTCTTCCATGATGGCTCATTTCTTTTTAGTGCTGAATAGTATTCCGAGGTCTGGATGTACCACAGTCTATTTATCTGTTCACCTACTGAAGGACATCTTGGTTGCCTCCAAGTTTTGGCAATTATGAATAAAGCTGCTATAAACATCTATGTGTAGGGTTTTGTATGGACATAAGTTTTCAAGTCATTTGGTAAATACCAAGGAGCTCAGTTACTGGAACATATGGTAAAAGTATGTTTAGTTTTGTAAGAAACTGCCAAACTGCCTTGCAAAAGTGGCTGTGCCATTTTGCATTCCCACCAACAATGAATGAGAGTTCCTCTTGCTTCACATCCTTACCAGCATGTGGTGTTGTCAGTTTTGGATTTAAGTCATTTTAAGAGGTGTGTAATGGTATCTTGTTTTACTTTGTAATTCCCTGATGACATGTGATATTGAGCATCTCTTTATATGCTGTATATCTAATATATCTTCTTTGGAGAGGAGTCTGTTAAGATCTTTTGCCCATTTGTAAGTTGAGTTGTTTGGTTTTTTACTCCTGAGTTCTAAGAGTTCTTTGTGTATTTTGGATAACTATCTTTTATTGATGAGTTTTTTGCACATATTTCCTCCTTAGTCTGTGGCTTGTCTTCTTTCTCTTAACATTATCTTTTACAGAGTAAAAGTTTAAAAATTTTAAAATTTTAATGTGGGCAGGCCTGGTGGCTCAGCGGTTTAGCGCCGCCTTCAGCTCAGGGCGTGATCCTGGAGACCTGGGATCGAGTCCCACGTCAGGCTCCCTGCATGGAGCCTGCTTCTCCCTCTCCCTGTGTTTCTGTCTCTCATGAATATATAAATAAATAAAATCTTTTAAAAAAATAAAAAAAGATAAAATTTTAATGTAATCTCATTTATCAGTTATTTCTTTCATGGATTTTTTTTTAATCTAAAAAAGTCAGTGCTATACCCAAAGTCATCTAGATTTTTTCTTATGTTGTCTTGTAGGAATTTTATAGTTTTGCATTTTACATTTAAGTCTATGATCCATTTGAGTTAATTTTTGTGATAGTGTAAAGTCTGTGTCTAAATAATCTTTTGGCAGCTCTTTCTGCCCACAGATCCTGCCCTTGTACTATAATAAAAACACCTTTTTTGCACCGGAAAAAAAAATCTTTTTGCACATGAGTGTCTAGTCATTCAAGCACTATTTGTTGAAAAGTCTGCCTTTTCTCCATTGTATTAACTTTGCTCCTTTGTCAGAGATCGGTTGATTATACTGGAATCACTGTGTTGGACACATGAAACTAATGTAACAGTGTGTGTCAATTATACTTCCATTAAAAAAATTTAAAAAATCTGTTGACTATATATAGATCTCTTTCTGGGTTCTCTATTTTGTTCCATTGGTCTATTTATCTTTTTTTTTTTAAGAAGAAACTAGTGTATATAGTAGAAATGAAAAAGAGGCCATACACTGTAACTATAAGTAGATATTCCCATTTCAGATGCTTAAAGAAGAAATAAATGTCCATAATACTACAGAAGCAATGAATGAAGTCTAGGGTAATGATAACACAAACTAAATATCTATTACTATCTAATACTAAAATATCTTTCCCAGTTCCACAGATTCCTCATATAATTGGCCCTTTACTTAGATAACATGTATTCTCTTCTCCCTTTAAGATATAGTAATATTGGAACGGTCACTTGTACACATGCAGATAAGTCAGCATATGTTACAAAGCTAGAAATTTTACCTTCTGTCTATTTTGCATAGTTCCTAATTGTTTAAAAAAAGAAATCTGGGGACACCTGGGTGGCTGAGCATTTGAGCATCTGCCTTTGGCTCAGGTTGTGATCTGGGGTCTTGGGATTGAGTCCTACATCTTGCTCCCCGCAGAGAGCCTACTTCTCCCTCTACCTATATTTCTGCCTCTCTCTCCCTGTCTCTCATGAATAAATAAATAAAATCTTAAAAAAAAAATCTGAGGGCAATGTATGGTGAAATTCTACAGGTACAAACCTGACATGAACCTCAGGTTTTTATGTACTTGGAAGGAAAGTGTTGGGGAAAATAAACAGTAATAGTTCTGTGGATGTAGAGTTTAAATGAGAATATTATATAGGTCCTACAAGGGTGGTTGGTTGGTTGGTTGGATAATGAAGTGAGAGAATGAGCAAATAGTAAATACCTTGCTTTGTTCTTAAAAGGATTTAAGACCTGTAAGGTTTTCAGATGTCAGGAACTAATGAAGCCTCATATGATATTCCTAGTGTTTTCAAACAGAAAAGGATTATCACTGATTCTTGCTTCTCTACTGACTGCACATGCACTTTTCCTAGTAAGGCATATGGCATTATAGCACGAAGCTTCTGGAGAGAATAAAACCTTCTGTAATTTTTACTCTCACTTTCTAGGAGAAATCCTCTTTTGCCAGTTATTGTCCCAATCCTTTCCAGACCTATGATGTCCTTGAATGCTGACCAGCCTCTTTAGAAAATGTAGTTAAGAACTGCTTTATTTGTTCAGTAGAGACTTTGTAGGGTATTAGGTAAGAGTGTGGACTCTGGGATGCCTGGGTAGCTCAGCCAGTTAAGCATCCACCTTTGGCTCAGGTCACGGTCCAGGGTTCTGGGATTGAGCCCTACACTGGGCTTTCTTCTCTGTGGGGAGTCGGCTTCTCTTTCCCCCACTGACTGCTGCTTATGCTCTCTCTGTCAAATAAATAAAAAACTTTATTAAAAAGTAAGACTGTGGACTCTGGAACCATACTTACTGAATTCATATCTTACCATCTTCCAGTCGTGTGACTATGTACATGTTATTTAACTGTTCTTTGTGTCAGTTTCTCCTGTTTAGAATGTAGATAATAATCATAGGAATATGAATATGTGTGTTTTTGTCTGTCATATTTCTTTTTAAAACACATAGTGCTTACTATGTGTCAGGTGCTAAGTACTTTGCTAATATTAACTCATCTTTTTATAGTAAAAGGTACATAGAGGCCAAAAATACAATAATGCAATAAAAAAGATAATAAAAGTAAAAAAATAATCATCTTGAAAAGAATTTCACCATATGACTGAATATTAAAATCTGATATGATAAGAATAACTGTAGAGACAGTCTAATAGGTAAGTGGGGTACAACAAAGGATGTAAAAAGGCTATTTACAGAAAAAGAAATGCAGACAGCCAATAAACATGAAAGGATATTTAACAGCCCTGGTAGGTAGTCTGGCTAATGCAAATTAAAACCATAAGATAACCATGTTTTTCCCACCAGGTTGTAAAAATTAAGTATAATCATATGCATCATTGGTGTATTTTTAACTCAGAAAAGTACCTGCACAGGGTATTTAATAAGTGTTAGCTATAATTATTCAACAATACAGAGTGCTAGACTATGCTGATTACACCATGAATAAGATACGCTCCCTGACCTTCTTACTCAGAATGTTTCTTAGTGTTCAGGCATTATTAACATCTGCTATATTCACTGGTTTGGCATTTTTCATTTTATTTTGTAGTTGAAGTCATGTGATTTTGCTGTCCTGAAGCAGTTGCTGCCTTTATTGGAGAAAGTCTCCAAGGTGCACCCTGACCCTGTCATCCAGGAGCTTGCTGTCGATCTTCGCATCACCATCTCTACCCATGGAGCCTTCTCCACTGAGGCTGTCAGTGAGGCTGCCCAAAGTACCCTGAACAAAAAGGATGCAGAAGGAAAAATAGAAGAGCAGCAGCAAACCAGTCAAAGTTATGCTGATGAGTCTCACCTCAAACAACAGCAAAGCCATGAGAAATCCAAAGAAACAACCCTGAAGTCTCCTACTCCACTCATTCCTCAAGAGGTTAGTGAGCCCAGAATGACTACGAACCAGAAATCTGGAAGCATCACCACAGACCAGCTCCAGGAGGTTCTTTTATCAGCTTATGATCCTCAAATTCCAACCCGGGCTGCTGCTCTGCGAACTCTTTCCTGCTGGATAGAGCAGAAAGAAGCAAAAGTCCTTGAGATGCAAGAGAAGCTTCTCAAGGTGAGTAGAACACACTGGAAAAACATATGCACACAGAGTGGGGCAGTTTTCCAGGAGCCCTGACTATGTATCAAGCATTGCCCTGGACTACCCCTAGGGAAACTGTAATTGTTCTGAGGAGGCAAGACTTAGACACAGGAAAGACTTAGATCACCACCTGAGGGATCCCTGGGTGGCGCAGCGGTTTGGCGCCTGCCTTTGGCCCAGGGTGCGGTCCTGGAGACTCGGGATCGAATCCCATATCGGGCTCCTGGTGCATGGAGCCTGCTTCTCCCTCTGCCTGTGTCTCTGCCTCTCTCTCTCTCTCTCTCTCTGTGACTATCATAAATAAATAAAAATTAAAAAAAAAAAAAAAGATCACCACCTGAGACTGCTCAGTTGAGCATGAACAGGAAAAGAAAGGGGCGGATTCCCAAGAAACCACCTATTTTTTCTGGGCCCCTTTTATTTGTTTGTTTGTTTGTTTATTTATTTAACTCACTTTTTTATTTTTTTTTAAAGATTTTATTTATTCATGAGAGACAGAGAGAGAGAGAGACAAAGACACAGGCAGAGAGAGAAGCAGTCTCCATGCAGGGAGCCTGATGTGGGACTTGATCCCGGAACTCCAGGATCACGCCCTGGGCTGAAGGCAGGCGCTAAACTGCTGAGCCACCCAGGCGTCCCTCTGGGCCCCTTTTAATAGGGGAATTGTGCAGAGCTGGGCCCTCCCCCCACCCCCCAACCTTCACCTTTTCCCCCCATCACAGTGAAGAAGCTGTTCCTTACATTGGAGATGTATGTGGGAGAAAAATGTATGCTTAGTTGAGGATCTTTTCAGTTTTGTGTGAATTTTCCTGACCTCAGTATGGATTAGAGATTAAGAGCAAAGGGTCTAGAGACTACAGATCAAATCCCAGGCCAGTTTCTTGGATAAATCATTTACATTTTCTTTTTTTTAAAGATCTTACTTATTTATCTGAGAGAGAGAGAGAATGCGCATGTGTGCACATGAGTAGGTGTGGGGCAGGGAGAGAGGGAGAAGCAAGCTCTCAGCCAAGCAGGGAACCAGACATGAGACTCTATCATCATGACCTGAGCCAAAGTCAGACAGAGCCACCCAGGTCCCTTAAGTCATTTAAATTTTCTGAGCCTCAATTTCTACATCTGCAAAGTGGTACATAACAATAGGACTCACTTTATGTTGCAAGATTTAGGGGAACACCTGGCTGGCTCAGTCGGTATAGCATGCAACTTTTGATCTCAGGGTTGTGGGTTTGAACCCCACTTTGGGTGTAGAGATTACTTAAAAATGAAATATTAAAAAAAAAGAAAGATGTAAAATAAAATAGTTCATGTAGGAGCATCTGGCTGGCTCAGTTGGTAAAACAGGCAACTACTGATCTCGAGTTTGTGAGTTCAAGCCCCCCATTGGGTGTAGAGCTTAGTTTAACAAACAAACAACTAAAAAATAAAAGAGACTTTAGAGGTAATGACTGCAGCCCTGCTGATACCTTGTAAAAAAAACTAGTTATATGTAAAGCACTAGTTATAGTGCCAGGCACATAATGAGCATCTAATAAAAAGCTCACTGTCATTGTTATCATCTTTTTCATATACTTTATTTTTTTTAAGATTTTATTTATTTGAGAGAGAGAGAATGTGATTGAAGGGGGAGCAGAGGGAGAGGGAGAAACTGGCTCCCCACTGAGCAGGGAGCAGGATCCCAAGATCACTACCTGAGCCGAAGACAGACACTTAACTGACTGAGCCACATAGCTGTTCCTCTTTCATGTACTTCAGCCATTAGATTAAGAGTTATAATTCTGATTAAAAACATTTATCTATGCTCACTAAAGTATTAGAACCAATGGTATAATAATAATAACTGCTGTTGGAGCACCTGTGAAGCAGCTGATTCTTGGTTTTGGATCAGGTCATGATCTAAGGGTCATGAGGTTGAGCCCCGAATCGGGCTCTGTGCTCAGTGCAGAGTCTGCTTGAGTTCCTACTTCTCCCTCTGTCCCCCTACCTTTTTCTCAAATAAGTTAACAGTAATAATAAAAATAATAACTGTTGTTTATTGAGCCAGATAATTGACATTATCTCCAGTTCTCATAATAGCTGCAGTATTGGTATTATCCCCATTTTATAGATGAGAAAACCAAGGCCAGAAATATGCCAAGGATTTGTTGCCATTGAAATATTCATAAAAACCTCATTATATATCTCCTTTGAGTAATCATCAAAAATATCCCATCATACAACTGTTTATTTTTTTTAAAGATTTTATTTGGGAGAGTGTGTGCGCACGTGTGCATACACACACACAGACACACACACACACACACACACACACACACACACACACACACGAGCAAGGGGGAGGGGCAGAGAAAGCTCCCTCACTGAGCAGGAAGCCTGACATGGGGCTCTATCCTAGGACCCTGAGATCATGACCTGAGCTGAAGGCAGATCCTTAAATGACTGAGCCACCCAGGTGCCCCCATATAACTGTTTAGATGGTGAATGCTATGAATGTCTTTGGAATTTTCTTTAACTTATTTAACCTTCATCTTCTGTCCATGATCGGTCAGGTCCTGTCAATTATTTTTCCAAGAAATTTCTCAAATATGTATCTCTTCCTATTTATTCCCATGGCCACTACCCTGGATTAAGCTTCCTTTATTTACATGACCCTCACCCCTTCCAATCTGGCCTTCTTTCCAGTTTAACTAATCTAGGCTCTCTGTAGCATGGTGCAGATGTGGAGACCGGCAGCATCAAGTTGGTACCAAGAATCACTGTGCCAGCAAATGATGCATCGCTGTATATAGAACAGACATCCCGTCCCCCCCCACCAGATACCAAGCAAGAAGAATATGGGCGCATGGCCACTCCTGTTCTCTGGCCCTCATATTAGGGCCTGAATTTAATATGTTGCTGTCATAGCTTCTAGATAAGCAGTGCCCTCTGCAGTTGACATACCCTGGTTTGTTCCTAAATTGTGAGGTCATCTGTTGAAAATAATTCATTACTAATGTCAGTTGAAGTGCCAAAATTTGCAAAAGGTTTTAAAAAATAAATTAGAATAGATTCAAGGTTATCCCAGTAACATTTCTGTCACTTGCATTTCCATATACTTTCTGAGTGGAAGAGAAAAAGACCAAATTATAGCAAATATGCTGTCAATTGGACATAACCCCAAACTTGGCATCGTGTGTGTCATGACTGGTAGTCTTTCATGATACACGTGAGAATGTTGTCCACCATGGGTAGTATACGTGGAGAAAATGTTCAGAATTTTTTCCTCAGATTTTGGTTTCCATGCCGACTTCTGGTATATACTTAGCCACTTCAAGAAGTATCTCCCCCTAACTTGCTGCCCTTCTTTAGCTATTGTAAAAATAGGACTTCAAACATATATACTGTTTTCTCTACAAAATTCTGAAGTCAGACCAATGTCTAGCTAAGACAAGAAGAAAAGCATTTATTCTTTTGAGGCTGCTGTAAGGGTCTCCTGCTTGCTCTTTGCAAATCATAGCACTGCTCTATTTTGTGGTTCCAGATATTCTTGGAGAACTTGGAGCATGAAGATACCTTCGTATATCTGTCTGCTATTCAGGGTAAGTTAGTCCTGGTTAAAGGACTTTGAGTCTGTGAACCAAAGACTGTAGCATGTGTGTTTGCACAAAATCTCTAAAGTCATCAAGCCATCAGACTGTTGGTCATTTTGTCCACCTTCCTGCCTCCTAGTGAGGATTCAATTTACATCATAATAATAATATTCCTGGATGGTTCCCTAAAGATTCCAATAGAATTTCAGTGTCTGATAATGATGAGGAGGTCTTTATTATCCTATAGATCACAACCCATTTCTTCTCATTCAAGGAGGTAAAAAATGTCTCACACATAAACTCTTATTACCTTAACCTTTTATGTACTTGACTACTGCTAGTATGTACCCTTGCTTTCCCTTTAAACTAAAAAAATCTGAGTATATAATATTTTTTCATCGAAATGTTTTTTGCAATAATTTTATTTCTTTTTTGTGATTTTTTTGTTACTGTTCTCCCGGTCTCCATTAATTTGTGGATTCCAAATCTGCAGAGAAATATCACAAACAGGGATGTAGAGAGTAGGCACCCTTCCTAAAGGATGAGAATCAGACATGATGAGAAAGTCAGTTATCTCACAGCTTCTCTTGGCTCTACCCGAAGAATGTAATTGTCAAGAGCTAGGACTCTGGGATGGACCACCTTGGTGTACCTCCATTCCTCTGCTGCTCAGCTGTATGGGTTTTGACAAATTACTTAATCTCTCTGGGCTTCAGTTTCCTATCTGTAAAAAGGGAGCTAAATAGAAATGTAAAATGGTACAACTACTTTGGAAAACAGCCTGACAGTTCGTCAAAAAGATAAGCTTAGGGTTACCACTTGATGCAGCAATTCCACTTCTTGGTATAATACTCAGAAAGATTGAAAACATATGTCCATGCAGAAACTTATATACCTGAATGTTCATAGCAGCACTGTTCATATTAGCCAAAAGGTGGAAACAGCACAAATATAAACAAACTGTATTTTATACATACAGTGGATTATTACTTAGTCTTTATAAAAATAAAATACTGAAACATGTCGTGGCAGGGATGAGCCTTGAAAACATTATAAGTGAAAGAAGCCAGTCACAAAAGACCACAAATTGTATGGTTCCTTTATTTATTTACTTAGTATGTATGTATGTATGTATGTATGCATTTATTTTTAAGATTTTATTTATTTATTCATGAGAGACACACACACACACACACAGAGAGAGAGAGAGAGAGAGAGAGAGAGAGGCAGAGACACAGGCATAAGAGAGAAGCAGGCTCCATGCAGGGAGCCTGATGCAGGCTGGATCCCAGGACCCTGGGATCACAACCTGAGACAAAGGCAGATGCTCAACCACTGAGCTGCCTATATGGTTCCTTTATATGAAATATGCAGAATGGGGAAATATATGGAGACAGAAACTAGGTAAGAAGTTGCCTAGGGCTGTTGGGAAAGGGGAAAGTATTGGGAGCTAATAACTGGGGTAAGGATTGCTTTTTGGGATGATGAAAACATTCTGAAATTGATTGTGGTGATCACTGAATAACTCTGTCCATATTATAAGAACCATTGAATTGTATACTTTAAATTGGCAACTTTTATGATATGTGAATTATATCTCAAACTGTTACCAAAAAAATTAAAATTTTATAAGAGGGGAAAGGTTAAAACTGTCAGAGTTTAAGCAGATATGATGATAAAATGTGATGTGGTAGATAAGATCCTGGAACAGAAAAGAGGCATTTGGGAAAAACAAAGATAATCTGAGTAAATTATGGACTTTAGTTGATAGTAAAATGTCATTCTTAGTTCATTAATTGTGACAAATGTGAAAAGCTGATAATAGAGGCAACTGGGTGTAGAAAATATGAGAACTTTCTGTGCTATGTTCTGAATAAATCTGTAAATCTGAAACTATTCTATCTTAAAAAGTCTACATATAGAGGTTAATATTAGAATTAAATGAGTTAATACCTTGAAAGTGCCTAGTGCAGGAGCACTCTGGTCCAACTCTTGATTATAGCTCATGTTATGACCTCAGAGTCATGAGATTGAGTCCAGTGTCGAGCTTCACGCTCAGCGTGGTCTGCTTGATATTCTCTTTTCCTCTCCCTCTACCTTCCTCCTGCTCTCACACGCTCTCTCTGAAATAAAGAAAATCTTTTTTTTTAAAAGTACTTAGCACACAGTAAGTGTTCAAATAAGGTTAGTTGTTATGAATTTAGTGTCATCATCATTATCATCACCATTATATTACTACTGCTTCTACTGTTAGATTGCTAGATAATGTGGTGATACATGTTACTTCTCAGGTCCAAAGTTTGAGTAGGCAGGCTCTATCAGGTAGTTATTGCTATGTAACAAACTACCTCAACCTCAATACTTCAAGCACCAATCATTTATTATCACTCACGCATCTGTAGACCCATGGAATTGAGCTGAGGCAGGCTGGGTTTGGCTAGACAGTTCTGCTTCGCCCTGCAGCTCTGTGGGCTGGCTGTGGCAGCTCTGCTGCACTTGTTCCTGGTCATCACTAGCCCAGTGGCCTATAAGAGTGTTTTGTGGTGATGGCAGAAGTGTAAGAGAATAAGAATAAACTCCAGAGGCCCCTTCGGGCCTAAGTTTGAAACTAGCATCTTATCACTTCTGTCTCATTCTGTTGGCTGAAATAAGCCAATGTGGCATAGCCCAAAAGTCAAGAGGTAGAGAAATAGACTCTTTTTCTTTAGTGAGACAGACTGCCAGGTCATAGAACAAAGGGCATGAATGCAGGGAAAAGTGAAGAATTAAAGCCAGTAATAGCAGTCCTTCACACTGATGTGTTCTGTTTATCTGCAAAAGGCAAGGTCCTCTGTGAGCACAAGGCATGCTTAGATCTTTACTGGCTACTTCTTTCTTGGTATAATTTTTGTATGCTCTGAACAGATCTGGCAGTTAAAGCTTAAGAGAGAGTGCAGAGGGGATAGCATACAGTGATAATGGCCAGAGCCTTGGAACTCATTCTTTATTCAGCAGACATTTATTGTGCACCTACTATATACTTAAAAACACTTCAACAGTTACTTGTCATGCCCAGGTTAAAAAGCAAAAAGAAAATTCCTCAAAGGAGACAAAATGACCACCCAAAGAGGTAAAAGGACAACTAGTTGAGAGCAGAAGCTGAAAGAGTAGGGTTTTGTTCTGTTTTTAAATTTTATCTATTTGAGAGAGAGAGCACATCCAAAAGAGACCACACAAGCAGGGTAAGGGACAGAGGGAGAAGCAGACTTTTGATGAGCCTAGAGCCAGATATAGGACTTGATCCCTGGATTGTGAGATCATGACCTGAACCAAAAGCAGACACTTAACTGACTGAGCCACCCAGGTGCCCAAGAGTAGAAGGTTTCAAGAAAGTAACTACCTACAGGTGAATGGGCAGAGGCCTGGGATTAAGATATGCCTGGGGCTCAGGAAGTCACATGACAATAAATGGTACTTATGGAAGCAAAATAAATTGGTGAAGCAAGAACCTTAAATGCCTGGTACTTTTCTCGAGAAACTCTAATACTGTTATGCTAAGGAGATGTTTCTTACGGATTTTTTTTTTTTTAGGACGGTTTTTGGAGAAGAGGTGGTATGTCATTCTCCTATGGCAACATTACTGTTTGGAATAAGCTCCTTAGCTGATTAACCCGTTGAGCTCATTAGCCTCTAGGGTCTACTATAAAAATCACAACTGTTGGTTTTGTTTGTTTTTAGTAATTTTAATTGGTGTGCTAATCAGTTAGTAGTTAATTTGGCAATGAAGAACATGGGGGGTAGAGGTGTAATTTCTGTTCTCAGCTCCCCACAATGGACAAGTTTGAATTAATTGATGTTTTGGTGTTTGTAACATGCACTTAAAGGCCAAGGCCTTAGGTGAATTTCCCATTATGAAAGGAAAGAGCTGGATTTTCCCACCTGCATTGCCAATGTCCTTTGCCCAGGCGTAAAGCATGCCAAGAACCAGGCCATTTTGGACTCCCAGTCAGACAAGGCCAGCCTACTTATAAATGTTCTGCAGTAGAAGGGGTGTTTGGCTGTGGTTTGAGTAGCATTTAGTTGTGTGTGTGTGTGTATGTGCATGCATGTGTGCATGTGTCTCTGTTTAAAATTTTCCTTTCTAGGCTGTCTAAATATCTCCATGTGAAAATTACAGCATATCTTTTGCTTAATTTGTTGATAAGCTGTATTTCTTTTGTAATTTCTCATCAACTTTGCAGTCTACCGGCAGAGAAGAGAGGAATTAAATAAATTAATTCATTTAACAGTTCCTTATTGATACCTGATGTAAGAATTTATGGTGTGTATATTATCTGTCCATCATAGCCATCTGAGAACTAAATTCCTTGTGAGTTAAATTTTAGTTTTATGAAAGACAGCCTGCATCTCTCTTAGTCCTACTGAGAAAGTGATGGTTGATTTAGTTCTTGCAGCGGCTTCTCCCAAGTGGGTGGGTACTCAGTAGCAAGTTCTTCAGGCAGAGAATTATATACCAAGTTCCTGTGTTCCAGTTACAAACCAGAGTTCATAATTAAAAGGCCTAATCTTAGATTATGGCCATTAAGTGTCTTTCCCTTTTAGACTCCTTGTGTATTATTTTTTTCATTCTTTATTATATCATTATTATTGTTACACAAATTAATGCATTTTCATAGTTCTAAAAAATTTGAGAAGGAAGTATATAAAGTAAAAAGTAGAAGTCCTCTTTTCCAAAATAGGAGTTAAACTATGTCCTTGGGGTCCCATAATGTATATCAGATGTTTGCGATATTTTTCACATTTCAGTTTTGAAATAGATATTCAATAACAAATATGATAAATAAGTATTCTTCTAGTAAGATATTATAGTCAGGTTATTTATTATACTGTGGATCTGCTCGTGTATCCTCTCAGTCACTTTCAATTATTTAAAAGACATTTTGAAAGCAACACCAGAGACAGAAGCATTTCAGGGATCCAAGTGATCCCCATCAATGTCAGAAGGATCTTTGGATAAAACTACCAGACTC